CCTCAGCCTTGCGCTTCTTCTTCTCTTCTGACTTGGCGTGGACTTTCGACAAAGTCTCAGTCCACAGCCTGACCGAAATCTGGCAAGCATCAACGAGCCAATTGCGAAACTGACTTCTCGGGGCAGCCTCAGCTGCGAGAACACTTGTTGAGTGGGAGATCCTGGATCTTGACAGCGTTACTGCTGCTAGTCATGGCGAACTCCCTGTCGATGGCATCCATCTCCTTTCGGAGATGTCAACCGGCTGGTTGGTGAATGGCTCGAAGATGTCCTCGAGACTGCGCACTTCGTTGTCAAGCGGCTCCACCTTCAAGCGTCGCAGGATGATGCGCGCGAGGTCCTGGCAGAACTGGTAAGGGTAGACCTTCCAAATGCGCCTGCGTTGCCCTCGAGTGGTTGATGTTCATGCTTTACCGAGCCGATAAAGTTGAAGATTGGCCTCATCACCTCGGGAGGTAGGCAACGCATCAAGCTTGTGGGCTAGAGACTTCTAAGTCCGGATTCAGGATCCTTCAGTCCGTATGCACAGAAGTGGAAATCTCCCCAGGTCACGGATGGATCTGCAAGTACCAGATCCTGGATGTCTGAGGATTTTCAATGATGTATCCCCCGTGCTTCAACTGGTATCGCGCAATCGACGCCACAAATGCAACCATCGCTTTCGCTTCTCCCAGACCTTTTGTTGGTCTTGTTGGATGTTCTGCATATTTGAACATGGTCCACAGACAGGTGCCATGAGGATGACATCAGGCGCTTGCTCCTTGATGATCTCCATGACCATGCGTCGTCCCTTGGATGTCATAACGTCAAATCCGTTGCGGATGTCAACGGGAGTCCCAACCTTTGGACCTGTTAGTGCGCAGCATTGACTGAATCTGGCACTCCCTGCGAAGATCTTCAGGAATGGGTGTCAAATCTTCCACGAGGATGACTCTTTCTTCTTGGAATCGGCTGAGGAGCCGCCTTGTTCCTTCTGCAAGGCTCCTTCTCATCTGGCAACAAGAGCTCAATTCCTGGTTTGCCAGGTGGGATGGTTTCGTCCTTTCTGACCTTTGTCATGTTTACCTTGATGAGCCATTGCTCCTTCCAGAGAAATGACTTTCCCTATTAGCCATATGCCTCCTTTGCTTCCGTCGGAACGAATCTTGGATTTGTCTGCCTGCCAGTAAAATACCTTGTCCTTCACCTGAAGAGGGTTCGGAAATTCTGAGCAAGGTCTCTCCGGACGTCTTCCTTGTTGGAATGCTTGCTTTGACAGCTGCTTGATCTGGATGGCTGTCAGCTCTTCCTCGTTCCTTTCAATTGTCAATTGAGTTGGAGTTGCAACATCAAGTTGGGTGAGATCTGCTGGTCGTCTTCCGAACGCAAGTTCCAATGGCGGTACACCCCCGTAGTTGGCGGTCTGATTTCTGACAGTTGCAGCTGCCTTCAGAATGATGTTGAGTTGTGCCTTCAGGAGTCGAACTGCTGCTTCAGCTCGACTTGGCCATGGTGTATTTGATCCCAGCGATATTGGTGTAATGTCGAGGGATTGTTAAAAATGTTCCCATATCTCCGTCATGAAGGCTTGATCTGCGACAACTGGTTTGGGCTGCAAGTGGTGCTGGTCAAAATAGTTCCTGAGGACAGTGAGGTTCTCGGATTCTTGTGTTGTGTTCACTGCCTCTGCAGTGAGCAAGGTCGTTGCTCCATCCAGGATGACAAAAACAATGATGTGTTCTCCAGTTCCGAGAGGAGCCTGACAGTGATCAACGAATGTCATGTCTCCGAATGTGTCCGCTCGAAGTCCACTCGTCTTGCTTCTGGATGGTGCTTGTTTTGCTGCTTGGCAGACTTCGCACTCGCTTCTGGTTTTGTCAAATAGATCGTGTGTTGATTTTGGCAAGTGAAGCGCACGAGTTCTGAATCGAAATTGATCGGTGTTCATGTGATGACGCTGAAGGTGGAGTTTCTTCAACTCTTCTGGCTTAGACAATCGTTGATGGATTCTGCCTAAGGCAAGCGGTTCATCTGCGGATGGTGCAAGAGGATCTGGCTCAATGGTCGACCGGCCCTTCTTGTCGATTCTCGATGATCCTGTCTGCTGCAGATCCTGAACCTGCTTCTTCGTCTTTTAGCTAATTGTTGCCTGGGATGTAAGTCGCCAATTGTCTGCAAGGATGTTGCATTCTCCGCCTTTGGATGCGTCAATCATCTGAGTGGTACGTTCTCGGCTGGTATGATCAGGATCAATTGGACATTCCTTGGCTCCATTTGGTGTGAACAGCGCCTTACGAGGCGTGACGCGCGCACGGATGAGCGGCTTGTTCTTCGTCAATTAGGCCCTGCTTCTGAGACCCTATTATCTTCGGAGTTGCTGTGTTCTCCTTTGTCTCGGATGACTTGGATGCACAAACAGTCTCAATGCTGCTGTCATCATCGTAGACAGAGTTGGTGAGGCCCTTAGCAGCGATCTCTCCATGTGATTTCAGTTTTGCCCACCCCAGCGGGATCGACTAGCGCATGTCCTGTACCGGATACCGGAACAGCTTGACGGTCCATGCTGCCAAAGGCCTTACATGTGGTCTTGTCACATGGTCATGCAGAGGTTCCGCGTCTGACTGATACTGAGGAGTATCGGTACAGTGCCTTGTTCAAGGATGTCGATGTTGGCACTGGCTGGAGGAATCGTGTGATATTTGAGATGCAAGGTCCAGTTGACCTTAGCTGTCTCTCCTGTGAACTTGGTCTTGGCCGGAATGTACTGGTAGGAGATGAGGTCCTTCATGATTTCGATGGCCTGAGTAAAACGCTGGATTGCATGCCAGCTGCCCACGGGTCTGGCACATCCATTGTCCAGAATCGCATAGGTCGGATTGCGCTGAGGGTTGATGACAGGCGCCGTCAGCTTTGTTGCTAAGTGACTTGTTGCTACGGACGAATTGTGTGCTGAAACTGGATCGGATTGGATCAGCTTCTCATGGATGGCTTCGTTCTCATTCTGCTGAAATGCATCATGGAATGCCATCATTGCTTGTCCTGTGCTGGATGTCTCATGAGATGAGTACCAGCCTGATTCACTCCAATTCCAAGGTTGATCCCATTCTTGGTCGGTCCAACCGGCATATGTAGGCTCTGGGAGTTTAGTAGCTTGCTGTATCGCAGGATGCTCCTCCGGTTTCTCTGCTACGGCTGCGAACGTTTTGGATTTTCCTTTCTCCTGTCCGCCTTTTCCTTTGCCATTGTCAAAGGATGGGTAACCTTTGTTCCCGTCGTAGGGATATTGGAATTTTGATGTTCCTTTCTTCCCTTTCTTTCCTTTGCCTTTTCCCTAATATGCCAGGTCGTAAGGATCATGATTTTCTTTGGCCATGTTGGCCTTCCCGCCGGATCCGCTTTTCCGAAAGGGTTTGAAGCCACATCGTTGGTGACTGCCCTTTTTGCTTCTGGATTTTCCTTTGCCTTTTCTTTTTCCGAATCTCCAATTCCGCCCAGACACTTTCCTTGCAATGAACGCATCATTTTCCTCGAGGGCCCAGAATGTCTCTTCATCATTGCTCGCCATGAATCCTTCCTGCCCTTCTTCATCCTCAACCCAAAAGCCTTCTTCTCCTTCGCGCTCTCCTTGTTCCAGGATGTAGAAGGTGTTTCTTCGGTTGCCTCCGGGAGGTCGGATGGATGGATCTTGAAAGGATGTTCTGGTCGTGATGAAGAGATCGTGATACTGTGCATTTCGTATGAGTAGTTGTCCATCGTGATGTTCTTTAAAGACATGGCACTGGTCAGTCTTTCTCTCTGCTGATCTGACAGCTCACTCTGAATAATGAAAAATTGCGCAATGGGGTTGTCCCCGAAGGGAAACGCGTCTCTCTGTCTTTGCTGCATGCCATTGATGAACTGTCTGAGGACTTGTGGATCCTCTTCGGCAAGCAGTACTGGAGGCGGTGCTCGGGCACCGGCGTCACCGGCGGTTTGCTGATGTCGAGCAATTGCTCTATTGTTCGCATCTTGCGCGGATGTTCGAAACTCTGGTGACTGTGCCGTGTAAACGGGCATCATGTCCATCCAGGCTGCCTTCACTCTCTTGAGAAGGATGTCGAACGAACTCCGAGTTCTGTCGTCGATGATTGAAGAAACTGAGAAGCCTGTACAGATACACGTTCGTTGCACCCTTCAGGAAGTACTTCTTCAGCGTGTTTTTGAAATAGTTGACCCCTTCTTCTGGATCTTGAAGCAACGCATTATAGAGAACTTCCTTGTGCATGTAAGCATCTCCGATGAGTCTGCTTTTGAGGAGAGGTCCTCTCTTGGATGCTTTGCCAATCATCTACGAGTTCTTCCTATCTGAACCAGCTGACTTTTCCGTCGTACGATGGCGGCTGCTTGGCGGCGTCGATAAACTTAGTGTCTCTTCAGTGAAGCCTGTTGATCGGCCTGCGCTTGAATAGGCCTCCGTGAAGCCTTCTCCATCGGATGACATCTTGTATGGATCTCTGCGGAAGACCCAGGGCTCCGCTACCACCCAAACCGGGGGCACCTTATCCTGTAGGAACCGGTACCTGGTGGTAGTATGAGTCTTTGATGGTCCCTGGATCTATTCCGGAGAGTATCCAATATGCCAATGTTGGATGGATGTGTCTGGAAGTTCCTGGTTTACACTGTGCTTTCCACTGTGTGGGAAAATGCACTGGAAGCGGTCCGCTAAAGCTCCTTTTTCTATGTGCTGCAGGATGCGTAGTACATGCGTGACAAAAGAAAGAGGGCCTTGAGCCAAACTGGTAACAGAGTGTGAGTAAGTCAATTGCGAGCTCCTCTTGGGCACGCACGCTTGGCCTCCTTGGAACTGTTTGGGCGTAGCCGGAACGTGGCCGCAGGCCTTAAGACTAAAACCTAGGTGATACATGTTTCGCCGCACGACACTATGTTAAATTAAATGCTAATCTAGAAAAATGCCCTAGAACGCCTAACCCTTAGACCCATCAAACCCACTTTTAGCCATCTTTACCCCAGCGTCTGCGCGCCTCCAGCTTCCTCTCTGGAAGCCGCTTCTTGATCACATTGACCTGGCCGGCCAGTATCCACATTGACCTTGTTCCTTGCGCGCTATCCTTCGCCAATGTGACGGCGTTGCCGGTTGCAGCGCTTCAGGGCGCAGGCGCACACCACATGCGCACACGTGCGCACGCACGCACGTGCACTCGCGCTCACGCGCCCGCCCGCGCACGCAGAACAACTTGCCCGGATCGCTTCAATCAACCGGGGATAAAAAGAACATCCTTTGAGGCTCCTGCCCGCGCTAACCCCCAAATGTCGGTTTGTGCTTCTGGGCCTGCCGTGCAGCGCGCGCTTTGGGCTGCTTGCCACAAGGAGAGCTTCGCGCAAGCTACACGGCCCGAGGCTGCAGAGCGGATGTGTGTGCGTGTGAGTGTGCGTGCGCGTTGTGTGTGTGTGCGCGCATTGTGTGTGTGTGTTCTACGCGTTGCGTTGCGTGCTGTGTGCTGTGTGCTGCGCGCTGTGTGTTGTGTGTGTGTTGTTTGTATCTGTTGCGTGTGTGTGTGCGTGCGTGCGTGAGCGTTGTGTTTTTGTGTGTTTGTTTGCCTGCTTGTGCGCTTGCCTGCTTGCTTGCTTGCGCGCTTGCTTGTTTGTGTTGTTTTGTGTTTGTTGCTTTTGATGTTGTTTGTTGTTTTTTGTGCGTGCGCGCGTGTGTGTGTGTGTGTGCGCCGCCGAGTCCCAGATTCACCCTGGGACCACTCCATGTTGAACAGCAGGGGGGCAGCGATCCCTACACCAGCTGCTGTAGAGGATGTGAAATCCATGTCGGACGCGACGTGGAAGACCAATTGGCTCACTTGTGTGATGCGTTACGCCGTGTGATTTGATACTGAAACCAACTCGATAGAACCCACTCGACAGACCCCGCTCGATTCCATCACTTCCCCCTCTTGGCCTCTATACTCGACGAGCAGACCCCTCCCTTGTGGACTTTAGGTGTGTTATCCCGAAAGGGAGATCCCCGGGAGTACCCAGAGAGTGACCCCGGGGCCGCATTGCGGTGTACAGGAACCTCTGTTGTCTCACGTTAACCTCAGGCCGATTACCTCAGTGCTACGAACCTCAGTTTTGGGTAACTTCGGTTGTGAAAGGTATTTATGCTTACGTCTCACGGGCGCGGAGAAGATGCACTTCGCCTCCCCTCTCCGACCTTCCCTGCTTTCCTCCACTATCCCTTGTTTTGATGCGATTGCATGGCTTGGCTGAATTGCCTTGACGCGATTGCGTGACTTGCTTAATTTGCATGAGTTGCATGCTTGCATCTGAGCGCAGCCATACTTGTTTGCAGTTAGTTGGTGCAGTCATGCCCCGTCGGGATCACCGAGAACGCTCACGCCGCGACATCGACAGATGCGCCGGAAGAGGTTGCCCTCAGAGCACCGGGAAGCGCTCAGAGATCTGAAGCAGCAGGATGGAGACCTTCCACAGTGGTCTCAGCAGATGCATCTTCCCGTCGCAGTCTCGCCCGTACATTCAATACTTCAAGTACCCGGGCTTTCAACCTCAACATGAGTGGGCACGCATCTTCAGACCTGGCCAGTGGATTCAGTGGAAACAGAACGAGATGCCTCCCTTCACTTCCGGGAATGGACCCAAGAACTACTCGGCCATCAACTCGTCTCCGGTCACTTCGCATGGTACTACAGGGAGTGGATCACCTTTGGCTGGCAAAGTCTCAACCCTCCTTCGCTTGCGCCACCCCGACTACGCCACCAAACACCGCCCCTGAACTTCCCAGATCCTGATCCTGAAGACGTTCCAGACGGAGCTTGGCGTGATCCGTCGCCTCCTCCGGATCTTACTCCTGATGCGTGGTTGAACGAGCCGTGTGTGCCAAAATCATTCGTGCTGTTTTTAGTCTTGACGTGAAGTGCGCTGAGCATCTTGCTGTGTGCTTGCGGTTGGCTTGCCCTTAAGATTGATCATTGGTTGCATTAATTCATCATGTTGTTGCCGCGCAGTTGAGTCTTTGGATTAGAGAGCCCATTACATCATGTCTGCCTCTCCGTGGCTGGAATGGTGTCCGGATCCTCTTCATCCTGAACATGAATGGATTAAGATCTTTTTCCCTGGCCCTTGGCACAATGCGGAGCAACGTGTTGCGCCGCCCAGCACCGAGATGCAGGGCACGTTGATGGCACCCAGGAGCAGCCCCCTTGGTAGCGATCTTGCTCGCATTCCAATAGCCAGCCTATTTGCACATCGACAAGGGAGGCATCTAACGACCCATGTTTCTCATCATCCTCGGAGTCCTCATTTTCAACACATAGTTGCACATGACACACTTTGTACTGAGTGCAAAAAGAGCGGACCACCTTGGAGTTGCGCCATGGGTTTGGTTGTGTTTGACTTGCCCTGTTCTTGCTCTCAAACCACTAGTACAGTCTGCGTTGCTCCACTCACAGTGTTTTGCGGTGGGCAGTCATGGCAACTCCTTGGCTGGAATGGTGCCCCGACGTTCAACACCCTGAAGAACAGTGGATCAAGATCTACTGGCCGGGTGAATGGACTTCCTGCGATGAGGAATAACCCTCGTCTCAACTCCAACATTTGGCGAGAGTGGAAGTAGCAATGGAACCGCTCGTCCCACACTGGAGATGACAACATGGACGATCAGCATGACACGGGGCCGGCCGTGGTTATCAGCGAGTCCTCACCAAGCAGCACAGTCCTTTGCCACCCAGGATACTGACCATGCAGCGGCTGGTGAGCAGGTCCCTCCATCATCCTTCTTGCTGGGCAACCCCAAATTGAACCAGCTCCCAATTTTACGCCTTGGCGCGCCCGGAGTTTGTCCTCCACCTTCGTCAACATGGAGCAGGCGCTGGTCCTTCCGAACGGTGGCGCCACTCCTGACCCCTCCTCGTGGTTGGAGGCACAGCCGTGGAAGCGGCCTTGCACTGAGGAGCAACAAGGGCAGCCTAAACCGTGCTGGCGGGATCCTCTTCCGACGTCAGTCTTGCGAGAACATCGCTCCTTCGGGAGCGTGTGCGCGCCGAGTCCCAGATTCACCCTGGGACCATTCCATCTTGAACAGCAGAGACGCTGCTGTAGAGGATGTGAAATCCATGTCGGACACGGCGTGATGTTTTGCGTTGGTGGTGAAACCACTCGACAGGCCCCACTCGAACCGACCACTTCCCCCTTCTTGGCCTGTATACTCGACGAGCAGATCCCTCCCTTGTGGAGTTTAAGTGTGTGTGTGTGTGTGTGTGTGCGTGTGCGTGTGTGCGCGTGTGCGTGCGCGTGTCCGTGTGCGTGTGAGTGTGCGTGTGCGTGTGCGTGTGCGTGTGCGTGTGCGTGCGCGTGCGCGTGTGCGTGCGCGTGCGCGTAGGCGTGCGCGTGCGCGTGCGCGTGTGCGTGCGCGTGTGCGTGTGAGTGCGCGTGTGCGCGTGTGCGCGCGCATGCGTGCGTGCGTGGGTCCGCGAACTTGATATTGAGCTGCTCCGTCTCCGCCGCAAACTCAGAACCTTGATCAGTCATCAAAATCCCGGGCGGCCCGCAGACTCCATACCACTTTCGCAGCAAGGCCGAGGTTGTCCATTGGCATCCTTCGTAGCTCGGGCGATCTGGCACAGCGAAAATGCGTCCAGCATGCGCGTGACCGCGCACTTCTCCGCCTTGTTGTCCCAGATGTAGAAGGCGTCCATCACCCGCCGCTGGTACGCCGCCTTCGGAACCGTGTTGGGCGGCGCCACCATCTTGCAAACCTGGCATTGAGTTGCTTCTGCTGCCCATTGGATTTCATTCCGCGCACCATTCGTCGACAACATGCGCCTCAGCTTCTCCGGGCTGATGTGGCCGAGGGCCACATGCAGATGAGCGCTCTTGACCTTCTTCGGAAACAGCGACGCCTGCCCCTCAAACGTGTTATAATCATATCAATGAACTGAGGAGGCGCCAACTGATTCATCCGCTGCCATAAGACACCTTCAGGCGACTGCTCCGCCGCCACTCGCACCGCCTCCCACACCTTGTCATCCTCGTTCTCCTTGGTCATCTTGAAGTCCTCCAGCGGTATCATCTTCCCCTGCAAATAGCCCACGCAGGCCCCCAGGATGTCCTCACCTGTCTGTGCTCCTTCGCGCCGTCGCGACCAGCCACTCAGATCTTCGCACGACCTTCCACTGGTTGATGTTCTCCAGGAGCATGCTGACACTGAGCTCCTTGCTGCAGCAACTCGGCTACTTCCTGCTTGTTGACTTGCAGGTTTGCGGCCTGTTTACGCGGTTTGCCACTCACCGCGTCACATAGTCCGAAGCGACATTGACGCACCACCACTTCAAAGACTTGCGGCTGCTTCACGAGAACGAGACGGCCTTGCTTCTCCTGGTACTCCTGCGCTGGCACCACAATATCCTCCCAAAAGGGTTGATGAGCTCCAACTTCTTGCGCTCCTTCACCATCCGTGTCCACGCACACCACGAGCCACACGGTGGAGTCATAGCCATCACCACCACATCCGGCCGGTGTTCATGTGTTGCCTCCCATAGTTTCTCTCGCCCTGTGGCACTTGAAGGTCCATGCCATAGAGGACGTCCATGGGCATGACCTTCCATCTCCCGTCTTGGTACGCCTGGATGGGCAACATGGCGCTCAAAGACCGCCAGGATCCTCCACGTCATCCAAGCCGTTGCCAGCCGTAGATGATTGCCTTCACGCCTCTCTTCACACACGCATGCTGAACTCGGGACCACCGTCCATTCCCTCCGTCGGTACCCGGCAGCCGTCGTTGACCTGGTAGATCGTCCACTCCACGCTGATGATCTTACCATTTGGGCTGAGTGTGATCCGCACCTTCACCTGGCTCCACTCAGGACCTGGTCGAGTAGCCTTATCGCGCTCCACCGCCTTATCCATGCGGCAGCCCGTGCTCCTTCATCGCCTGGTCCAGCTCCTCCTGATCAACGTCCTCGATGCCCCGGGTGTCGTGCGCATGAGCCAGCGTTGGTTCCGCTTCCATCGGGCTTGCTTGAACTCGGGGTCCTTGGTGATGCCCTCCATCAGCAGCCACTGCTTCCATTTGAACGCTCGCCGCTTGTCTGCCAAGGCCTTGATGGTGTTTATCGTCAAGTCGTCTGAGAAGCCCCTTGACAGAGCCCCCGCACCAGTCTCGGCCTGTTCCAACGCCCCAACTGCCTGCTTGGGCTTGGCGCAACTCTTCGACTTCGTCCACCTCCTCGTCGTCCTCGACCGGCGCCTTCTGGGCGATCTGCTCCTGCTGCTCCTGCATCATCTGCTTGGCCACCTCCGCAGCGGCGTCCATTGCTGCATTTGCGGATGAGCTTGTTGATGAACTCCCTTTCTGCTCCTTGGGATTCCTCCTCACTTTCACCCTCTCCTTCAACTTGTCCTTGCTGACTCTCCGGGAGGGTGACTTGGACCTCGCGGCCGCGCCTTCCACATCGCTTATCTCCTCGATGTCCTGAGCGTCCTGCATCTCGTCCCATGGGGTGCTTGACAGGTGGAAATACTCCGGCTTGATTTTTTCCGAGTTCTTGGTCATGGGGCGCAGCAGGGCTCTTCGAATTGGTCGGGGCTAGCGTGCTACCGCTCATTAGCTAGCCGGCTGCGACAGCACACGCAGAGCAAATACCTCAAGCCAGTGGGCATCACGAAATCCTCCTTGACCAAGGAACTGTCGCCACTCATCAACCTTAACTATGTAGCGGCCTCCCTGCGATTGCTGCACCGTCCCGTTGAGAGTGCTCATAAGTGCTGCAAAATACTTAGTAAGATGGCCGAACATCTCACAACCTCTAGCAAGTTCACGGTTCATTCCAGCACCCGCCCACCCACGCACGTACGCACGCAGACACGCAGGCACGCAGGCATGCAGGCACGCAGGCAGGCAGGCAGGCAGCCAGGAGGCACGCACGCACGCACACACAGAGACACGCAAACAGGTCTTGGGCGTGAGTGTTTCTCGTTGCAATGCTGGCACTTGAGGCAGAGCGCCCCCGCCTTCAGTGACTTTCTCATCTGCTTGGGGGTCATCAACAGGGCGTCCCCCAGCTAGCAGCTAGAGCCAATGGCCTCGCTGCGGGCTGTTTGTGCGAGAATTGCCACACGCGCATTCCGATTGCTGGCCATCAATTCATCCGTCGACTCGGCATTGGCAAATGTTTTGACCCTCGCATCTTGTGCCTTCGCATCACACTCATGGACGTGCAAGGCCATGAGACTGAACTAAGAGGCCTACTCTGGCATAAAAAGCTCACCGCTGAAAACAACGCTTCCCTGCACAGGTCATCTGCCTGGAAGAGTCATTAATAGCGTGGGTGAGATTGCAATATCCGCAGGTGACTAAAGGCGGTACAATGTCAATTTCACAAAGGGCGAACTGCCCACACGCGGCGATGCAGAATCTGCAAGCGCCGATAAACCATGATACGTGCTGTTTCGGCCCTCTTACCAGTAGAGCCGGCGAAATATAAACACTATAGTTCTGTTCGTCTTGTTTCTCTTCGTTCTTTTCCTCTTCTTATTTTTGTCCTTCTTGCTGTTCATTGTTTCTTTTCTGTCCGTCCTTCTCTCTTTCTTGCGATCGTTCTTTCTTCTCTTCCTTCCTTTCTTCCTTTCTGCCTGCGCTGTTGTCAACCACGCCCCGCACCGCCCACTCCTTTTTTCGCAGCATGTTTTTCGCAAACACCGTGCAGCACTCCACACCCGCGGCCTGAACACCCAGGTTCTTCTGAACATCCCCTCTCTCTATCTGTCTATCTTTAAACCAATTTACCTACCTTTCTTTCTATCTATCTATTTATCCATCTCTCTATCTGCCTTTTTATCGATCTATCGATCTATCTCTGTATCTATCTAACTATCTATTGGTCAATCTACCTAGTTATCGTATCTATCTATCGATCTATCTATCGAACCATCTTATATTTCTATCTACCGATCTATCCAACCATCTATCTTTCGATCCAACCGTCTAGTTCCCTACCTATCTATCTAGCTCGCCATCGTTCTGTTCCTCTCTCTCTCTCTCTCTCTCGCTTTCTTTCAATCAATCTATCTATCTGTCTGTCTATCTCTCCATCATCTATCTATCTGTCTGTCTGTCTATCTGCCCATCTAATTGGTCGTCTGTCTGTCTGTTTACCTATCTCTCTTTCTATCCTTCTATTTATCCATCTATCTATCTATCGACCTACTTCCTTTCTATCTAGCTATCTTTCTCATCTATTCACCTATCCATCTATTTCTCTTTCTTTTTCTTTCTTTCTTTCTTTTCTTTCTTTCTTGCTTTCTTTCTTTCTTTATTGCATTATGTCTGTATTTCTTTCTGTCTTTCTGTCTTTTTCTTTCTTTCTTTCTTTTCTTTCTTTCTTTCTTGCTTTCTTTCTTTTCTTGATTTCCTTCCTTTCTTTCTTTCTTTCTTTCTTTCTTTCTTTCTCTCTCTCTAGCTGCGAAAAATGGACTTCGCGTACTACTTTCGCACTTAAAAGTTGCGACTTTCGAGCCCCCGCTGCGAAAGTGGACTTCGCGTGCTACTTTGTCTATCTCTATCTATCTATATTTATCTCCTTTCCCTCTTTCTGCACCTGTCGATCTTTTCCATACGTCTGTCTATCTTTGTCTATCAATCTACCTATCCATCTATCTATCTATCTGCTCTCTGTCTGTCTATCTCTCACTCTATCTACTGATCTAGCTACCTATTTGTCCATGCATCTTTTGTCTATCTATCTATCAATTTACTCATTTATCTTTCTCCCTAGTCTTTCTCATCACATCTATCTAAACTGTTGAGGCGGTCTAACGTTCTATCTATCTATCTATCTACTTATATAGGTTGTAACTATGCATCTTTATCTATCTCTCTATCTATATTCATCCATCCGTCTATCTACCTATCTGTCTGTCTGTCTGTCTGACTTCACCCATCTTCATCTATTTATCTATCTACGCATCTATCTCTTCTATCTATCTTTCCTTATCTATCCGATCTGTATGTCTATCTGTCTGTGTATCTATCTATCTATCTACTGATTGATCTGTCTTCCTATCTTTATCTTTCCTACCTGTCTATCTATCTAACTGTGTCTCTATCTATCTTTCTTTCTTTCTATCTTTCCATCTATCTATCTAGCTATCTGCCTATCTACCTATCTAACTACCTGTCTATCTATCTATCTATGTGTCTATCTTTCTCGATCAATCTACTAACTTTCTATCTACCTATCTATCTACCCATCTATCTACCCATCTATCTACCTGTCTATCCTTATGTTTATATCTATCTATCTGTCTAGCTAGCTCATCTTTCTAGTTATCTCTCCATCTAACTATCTATCTGTATGTCTGTTTATCTATATGTCTGTATGTCTCCTTCATTCTCTTCCTAGCGATCTATCTATCTATCTATAGTTCTTTTATCTTTCTATTTATCTATCTATCTATCTATCTCTCTATCGATTTATCTATTTGTCTCTATCTTTATCTATCTATAGATAGAGAGATCGATAGATAGATAGATAGATAGATGGATATATAAGATAGACAGTAGATAGTTAGAGAAGAGATAGATAGATAGACAGACCAAGAACAGAGAGCTATAAATAGATAGATAGAGAGATAGGCGGATAGATCTCTCTATCTATCTATATATCTATCTATCTCTGTATTTATCTATCTATCTCTCTCTCTCTCTAACTAACTACGTTCTACTTAATCTGTCTATCGATCTTTCTATATATCTATCTACCTATCTCTTCTTTTTTTCAATCTCGTTATGTATCTATCTATCTCTCCCTCTCACTCCAACTCTACTTTCTATCTTATGTCTATCTACCTTTCTATCTGTCTATCTATTTGTCTATGTATCTATCGATCTATCTATCTCTCTTTTTTTTTCTATTTATCTATCCATCGATCGATCTATCTATCTCTCTCTTTATATCTATCTATCTATTTATCTATCTACCCATCTATTTGCCTATCTATCTATCTATTTCTCTTTTTCCCGAAAGCATGGCGAAGGGTTCCTCCGCTGGGTTCACTTGAGTTGTTCTCATGAGAGTCATTACAAGGTGTCATTGCAAGGAATCAGCATCATGAAAGTCATTGCAAGGAGTCATTGCAAGGAGTCATTGCAAGGAATCATCATCATGAAAGTCATTGCAAGGAGTCATTGCAAGGAGTCATTGCAAGGAGTCATTGCAAGGAGTCATTGCAAGGAGTCATGGCAAGGATTGCAACTTGCACTTGACTCCTTGCACTTGCAACTTGCACTTGACTCCTTGAACTTGCAACTTGCACTTGACTCCATGCACTTGCAACTTGCACTTGACACTTGACTCCATGCGCTTGGCTCCTTGCACTTTTCGCTCCTTGCACTTGGCCCCTTGCACTTGCAACTTGCACTTAACTCCGTGCACTTGCGACTTGCACTTGACTCCATGCACTTGGCTCCTTGCAACTTGCAATGGCTCTCATGACTCCTTGCAATGACTCCTTGCAATGACTCCTTGCAATGACTCCTTGCAATGACTCCTTGAAACAAGCAAGGAGTCAAGTGCAAGTTGCAAGTGCAAGGCGTCAAGTGCAGTTGACTTGCGAGGAGTTAAAATCTCTTCTTAGGGCGGCGGGGTAGTGCCGACGACACTACACGAAAATCGACCCTCTGCGGGGATCGGCGTGGTCAAGGTGCAAAGGAGTTGTTCTCATGAGAGTCATTACAAGGTGTCATTGCAAGGAATCATCATCATGAAAGTCATTGCAAGGAGTCATTGCGAGGAGTCATTGCAAGGAGTCATTGCAAGGAGTCATTGCAAGGACCCACTGCAAGGAGTCATTGCAAGGAGTCATTGCAAGGAGTCATTGCAAGGAGTCATTGCAAGGAGTCATGGCAAGGATTGCAACTTGCACTTGACTCCTTGCACTTGCAACTTGCGCTTGACTCCTTGCACTTGCAACTTGCACTTGACTCCATGCACTTGCAACTTTCACTTGACTCCACGCACTTGGCTCCTTGCACTTGGCTCCTTGCACTTGCAACTTGCACTTAACTCCGCGCACTTGCGACTTGCACTTGACTCCATGCACTTGGCTCCTTGCAACTTGCAATGGCTCTCATGACTCCTTGCAGCGACTCCTTGCAATGACTCCTTGCAATGACACAATGACCGTTGCAATGACTCCTTGCAATGAATGACTCCTCCTGCAATGCAACTCCTTGCCATGACTCCTTGCAATGACTCCTTGCAATGACTCCTTGCAATGACTCCCCGCAATGACTCCTTGAAACAAGCAAGGAGTCAAGTGCAAGTTGCAAGTGCAAGGAGTCAAGTGCAATTGACTTGCGCTGCGAGGAGTTAAAATCTCTTCTTAGGCCGCGGGGTAGTGCCGACGACACTACACGAAAACCGACACTCTGCGGGGGTCGGCGTGGTCGAGGTGCAAAAACTCAAGGTTTTTTGCGATTTCTGCGGTGCCCGCGCAACCCTCTGCGGGGATCGGCGTGGTCGAGGTGCAAAAACTCGAGGATTTTTGCGATTTCTGCGGTGCTCGCGCAACCCTCTGCGGGGATCGGCGTGGTCGAGGTGCAAAAACTCAAGGTTTTTTGCGGTTTCTGCGGTGCTCGCGCAACCCTCTGCGGGGATCGGCGTGGGCGAGGTGCAAAAACTCGAGGTTTTTTGCGATTTCTGCGGCGCTCACGCGACCCTCTGCGGGGATCGGCGTGGTGGAGGTGCAAAAACTCGAGGATTTTTGGGCAATTTCTGCGGTGCCCGCGCAACCCTCTGCGGGATCGGCATGGTCGAGGTGCCAAAACCCATGTTTTTTTTGCGATTTCTGCGGTGCTCGCGCAACCCTCTGCGGGAATCGGCGTGGTCGAGGTGCAAAAACTCGAGGTTTTTGCGACTTTTGTTGTTCGAACTGGTCCTCGGGAGTTGTTTCGTGGTTCGCGCGCCTGCTCCCGGAACCGGCGGGTCGCGGGTCCTGGTCCGCAGGCGGGCGTCGCAAGATGTAACTTGCATTTTAAAGCAACT